TACCTCGTCATGCCTCATGCATATGAAGCCCCCCTTCTAGCACACCATGGCGTGATCGCCATCATAGGAAGAGCCACACACGCATTGGGAGGGCAAACCTTCTACTGGCCGACCGTACCTTAGAGCAATGGCATCTGTAAATTCTTGTTTGTTAAGACTGAAACCATTTGCCCTTATCGGTAACGTAGTTAACCAGTTCGAGGCGCCCATTTCCTGCACTATAGCTACCTTTTTTTTCAAATTTTCTGGAACCTGCAGCAACAGTTGCTGCAACTTATCATTTTGGCAGTGCTGTCGATCTGTCGTAATGGACCTACGAATCTCGTTTAGTTCACTGGTCTCGACCTCTTCTGTTGCGTTCTGGGCTATTATGTGGTCCGTGAGGGCTGCCGTGAGCTGAAGTGAATTTTGATGTTCGGTGGCTGCAAACTCCTCTGGATTGGTTAGTCCCATCCCTCCCAGTCTTGATGGAAGTGCAAGAAGTGCTCTTTCTGCTGGGGTTAAGTGAGTGTGTTTCACTAATTTGGGAATGAACTTGACACTGATAGCTTCTTCCAGAGGGTGGAGGAGGAGTCCGATATCAGGGATAGTACGCATCAGGTAGTTCCAACGATGCTTGACTCCAAGGGTGAATGCTGCAAAAGCCGCATGTGGCTCTGTGTTAGCAATCTCAGACAGAGCTTGGATTTCACTAACCCACTCATTCACCTTTCCCGCTACGTACTCGGTCTACTACCACCATCACTGCTACTACTACTACTACCACCATCACTACTACTACTACTACTACCACCATCACTGCTACTACTACTACCACCATCACTACCACCACCACCACCACCACCACTCCCCCTGACCACCACCAGTTAATAACATTTTACTCGTACTGAATCCAATATAATTTTCTCTCATTTTTCAACTTTTTTCAGTCAAAACACACACACACACACACACACACACACACACACACACACACAAATTCTTGAAATATGTCATCGGTTTCCATTAGTCTTTAGTATATTCCTTCACCAGTGTCATGACGAGCTGCCACCACCACCACCACCTGCCACCCACCACCACAGATTTGGTTAGGTTACGAAAGCTTAATCTTGGTTGGTTATGTAAGGTTAAGTTGGGTTTGGATTACGTACTCAACTTTGGGTTTTGTTAAATATGGTACTCAATCCGGTTCTTGATGAATAAACAGTACTCAACAGATCTCGATGAATAAACAGTACTCAACGGGTCTTGATGAATAAACAGTAATCAACAGTACTCACCTCCAGGTCTTCATGAGTAAGGAAGAGAAGGTGATGCAGAACCCTAGGTGTCTGGTCCACTTGGTTGCCACACAAGAGTACATGTCCAGCACAGGGAAAATGGCAGCCATCTGTAGGAGAGAAAGTGACCAGTGAAAGTGACGGGAAAGTAACAGGAAAAGTGAGTGAAAGTGACAGGATGGAAAGTGAGTGAAAGTGAGTAAAAGTGACAGGGAAAGTGAGTGTAAGTGACAGGGATAGTGAGTGAAAGTGACGGGAAAGTGAGTAAAAGTGACAGGGAAAGTGACAGGATGGAAAGTGAGTGCAAGTGACCGAGAAACGGCAGCCATCTGTAGGAGAAAGTGACCAGTGAAAGTGACGGTAAAGTGAAGGTGACAAGGAAAGTGAGTAAAGAGGATGGAAAAGTAAGTGGAAGTAACGGGAAAGTTAATAATTAATATAAAAAACACTCAAAATATCCACCAATCAATTAATTTAAGTATCTAGGGAGAAGTCAATGCAGTCAATAAGTGAAACAAAATTTAGGTAGACGGATTCACGGTACAAGAACGCATAACAACAACAACAATAAGTTCAGTCGTTCGTGTTAAGTAGCTCGGGTGGTCTCATGGCTGTCAGTAAAATAAAATCTAAGTAGACGGATTCACGGTACAAGAACGCAAATAACAACAACAATATGTTTAGTCGTTCGTGTGAAGTAGCTCAGGTCGTCTCGCCAGCTGTCAGTAAAATAAAATCTAAGTGACGGATTCACGGTACAAGAACGCAAATAACAACAACAATAAGTTCAGTCGTTCGTGTTAAGTAGCTCGGGTGGTCTCATGGCTGTCAGTAAAATAAAATCTAAGTAGACGGATTCACGGTACAAGAACGCCAACAACAACAAAAGGTTCAGTCGTTCGTGTATTATTGATATTCAACCTCTACGCTATAAAGTTCCCGTGTAGAAAACTTTTACCTAGTTGGTGAAGTTTTATACCTCAAGCTCTCATTCTTTCCCTCTCTTCCTTCATCGTCCTCCTCCATCTTTCTCTCTCCCTGACCATCCTCCTCCTCTCCCTCACACCTCCTTTCCCTCACCAACCCTCCCCTCACCCTCTCTCCCTCCACCCCTCTCCCCTCACCACCTCCCCCTCACCACCCCCCTCTCCCTCACCACCCCTCTCTCACCCCCTCACCTCCCACCACCCCCTCACCCCTCACCACCCCTCACCCTCCACCACCCCTCACCCTCCCACCCCTTTCCCTCACCACCTCTCTCCTCCCAACCCCTCTCTCCCCTCACCACCCCCTCTCCCTCACCTCCCCCCCTCTCCCTCCCTACCCCTCTCCCCTCCTCCCCCTCTCCCTCACCATCCCCACACCTCACCACCCCTCTCTCCCTCCCACCACCCCCTCACCTCACCAACCCTCTCCCTCACCTCCCCCTCTCCCCTCCACCACCCCTCACCCCTCACCCACCCCTCTCCCTCACCCCCCCTCACCCTCCCACCCCTCTCCCCTCACCCACCCCCTCACCCCTCACCCCTCTCCCTCACCTCCCCCCTCTCCTCCACCACCCCCTCACCCTCACCACCCCTCTCCCTCACCACCCTCTCCCTCACCACCCCCTCTCCCCTCACCTCCCCTCTCCCCTCACCACCCCCTCACCCTCTAACCCTCTCCCTCACCAACCCCTCTCCCTCCCCTCCCCCTCACCCTCACCTCCCCACCCCTCACCCTCCCCACCCCCCTCTCCCCTCACCCCCTTCTCCCTCCCACCACCCCTCTCTCCCCTCACCCCCTCTCCCTCCCACCCCCTCTCCCTCACCAACCCCTCTCCCCTCTCCCCCCCTCTCCCTCACCTCCCCCCTCCCTCCACCACCCCCTCCCCACCCCTCCCACCACCCCTCTCTCCCTCCCCACCTCCCCCCTCTCCCCTCACCCACCCCTCTCCCTCACCACCCCCTCCCCACCCCTCCCCACCCCTCTCTCCCTCCCACCCCCCTCTCCCTCCTCCCCTCTCCTCCCACCACCCTCACCTCACCACCTCTCTCCCCTCCACCCCTCTCCCTCCACCACCCCCTCTCCTCACCACCCCTCACCCCTCACCCACCCCTCTCTCCCCTCCACCACCCCTCTCCCCTCACCCACCCCCCTCACCCTCCCCACCTCTCTCCCCTCCACCCCCCTCTCCCTCCCCACCACCCCCCCTCTCCCTCCTCCCCTCTCCCCTCCACCACCCCCTCACCCTCACCCCACCCCACTCTCCTCCCACCACCCCTCTCCCCTCACCAACCCCTCTCCTCCCCACCCCTCTCTCCCTCCCACCACCCCTCTCCCCTCCCCACCCCTCTCTCCCCTCCCACCACCTCTCTCCCCACCCCCCTCTCCCCTCACACCCCATCTCCCCTCCCACCACCTCACACCCCTCTCCCCTCCCCACCCCCCTCCCCTCCCCACCCCTCTCCCTCCCACCCACCCCTCCCTCACCTCCCCTCTCCCCTCCCCACCACCCCCCTCCCCACCCTCACCACCCCTCTCTCTCTCCCACCACCCCTCTCCCCTCCCACCACCCCTCTCCCTCACCCCTCCCACCCACCCCTCTCTCCCTCCACCACCCCTCTCCCTCACCACCCCCCTCCCCACCCCTAACACCTCCCTCTCCCCACCCCCTCTCCTCCACCACCCCTCCTCTCACCCCCTCTCCCTCACACCCCTCACCCTCCCCCACCCCTCCCCACCCTCACCACCCCATCTCCCTCACCTTCTCCCTCACCACCCCCTCTCTACCTCCTCCTCCCCCAACTCATCACGGTAGAGGCAACACAGACGATACCAGATATTTGCCATATGTTATCGTCACTTTGGTTAACAGGACAACTACACTACACGGTCAAGGGAGACTGAAGTATGGCTCGTATACAGTATATAACTGTGTGTCTGTTATATTGTGAACGATCAATTTACGATACCTTTATTATCTACGATCACTGTCAATCCTAACCTAACCTAACCTAACCTAACATAACATAACCTAACCTAACCTAACCAAACCTAACCTAACCAAACCTAACCTAACCTAACCTAACCTAAGTGAATGTGAACGTGTTTTTTTTTAGTCTTGACGTCACACTGGATAAAGGTAAACATTGTTATATTAACTCTAGGTACACACGGAGGTTAGGTTAGGTTAGGTTAGCAACTATAGTCTACCGCCATTACTTTACTATATTATGTACCCATTTACAGTTGGGTGAAACTGGGGCTACACCAGAGGAACCAGTTACCTTTAGGGACACGAGTCAAGTGCAGAATCCACCAGCCACCGAAAGGATTTCTGAGGACCCTGAAGGAAAGCACGTACCTGAGGTCCCCAGGTACATACTATGGTCCTAGGGGCTGGGGCTGGGGCTGGGAGGCTGGGGCATGGGGACGGTAGTTAGGGACGGAGTTTAGTGGCAGTTGAGTAATTTGGTCAGACCTATTCACGGGTGTATAGCAACAGATGTGCTTCAGGGCCGTAGCTATACCCATCTGAACGGTGATGATGGTGGTGATGAGGATGGTGATGGTGGTGAGGGAGGAGGTAGGTATAAACACACACCTGTAACTAACACCACCACCACACCTGTAACTAACACCACCACCACAACACCTGTAACTAACACCACCACCACACCTGTAACTAACACCACCACCGCCACACCTGTAACTAACACCACCACCACCACACCTGTAACACCACCACCACACCTGCAACACCACCACCACACCTGTAATTAGCACCACCACCCAGAGTTAAGAACACATCAAAGTAATTCACTAAATGTCACCCACATATAGTATAATAATTGTCCTGCCATCCAGCACTGTTCATCAGAGGATTTTTCAGCTAATTCCTACCTGTCTGAATGTCTGTCTAATTTGATTAACCTTTCTGTCTGTCTGTCTGTCTGTCGCTCTGTCTGCCTGTCTGGTCGCGATAATAACACTATAGTTTTGTCATTCCACAGCAAATGTATAGAGTTGCCAGACAAATAGTTTTCAGTGTAGCTTTGTGTCTTGCACACACACACACACACACACACACACACACACACACACACACACACACACACACACACACACACACACGCACCGTATGCGTCACCAGCCCTGTCATCTTCAACTCCACCCAACAACGTCAGCTAGAGAAGGTAGAGAAAAGGCCCCAGAATCATGCTCGGCGCAGAATACCCGGCTACCCAACGCTCTCTCCACCCTGGAAGCCATCCCTCAGTGACCTCCACCACCAAGCACTGAAAGGTTTGGCCGTGGACTACTGCACCACCCTCGCCACCTGCAGCCCCCCACCCACCTCGCGCAGTCCGCCACTACAACAAAATTCACCCATAAGAGCCCACCGATAGATATAAGAAAAGCACCATCCCATCTATTGTTAAAATAATAAACAACTCCTGATTTATGTAACTGTAAGCCCTGTAAATGTATTCAATGCATATTATATCATTGTGTCTAAATCAAATGTGTGTTCAATATTTTCAGCCACCGGCTGCACTCTATTAATAAAACTGTTTATTATTATTATTACACACACACACCAGAGACTTTAAAAAACAATAATACTTACGTCTATTCCATCTTTATAACTTCCTTGACGAAAAAAAAGTTGAAAAAAAAAACAAAAACAAAACAGGGAAAACAAAAGCACACACGCAACACATCCGAATGAGGAGGTCTACATAGGGTGAGGGAGGTGAGGAGGAGGGAGGTGAGGGTAGAGGGAAGGTGAGGGTGAGGAAGGTGAGGTGTCCAAGACCTCGCCTCCTCATTTCCCTCAACAGATGCCTAAACTGCTTCATGTATCAAATGAGGTCATTAAGAGGCTACAGAGGATAGTTTAGTGAGCGGGCGTAATTACCTGAGTGAGTGAGTTGTTGTGTGTGTGTGTTATAAAGACCTTCTACTATACACAACATAGCCTCACACAGTCACATGGTGTACGATATTGACCCATTGCTCGATGACTAATTATGAATATACATACAGTGCAGACACGATCACAAGCACACAAGAGACATGATCACACGCACACACAAGACATGATCACAAGCACACAGGAGACATGATCACACGCACACAAGACATGACCACACACACACACACACACACACACACACAATGCCCAAGGAACACTAACTGACTTCCATGGTATACCTCCCGCCCAGCCAGCCAGCCAAACAGACAGTCAGATACACAGCCAACCGCTCCAGACAGCAAGACCCACCTCAAGGTACATGATAGCACAGCCGATGAGACAGATGCAGAGGAAGGTCGGGGAGGCGAGACGGAACACCTTGACGCTACGGTAGTGGTACACCAGACCCATCAGCACGAAGGTGAACACCACACACAGCGAGGAGATGGTGAGGAGCGCCAGCCTGTAGGAGGTAGGTAGTGGTTAGTGGTTCAGTTGAAAGAGAGAGAGAGAGAGAGAGAGAGAAGAGAGAGAGAACTGAAAATAAACAAAAGAACTAAACAATCCCACTACTCCACCAACAATAAAACAGACTAAGTTCACATTACGTAGAAACAAATGGATTAGAACATTATTTTTTTATTTTAACATTATTAAATAAAACACAAAGATATAATTTCAATTATACATACACAAAAAAAAAAACTCTAACACCACACCCAGCCTACAGTATCCCTACACCACACCCAGCCCACAGCACCCCACACCACACCCAGCCCACAGCAACCCCACACCACACCCAGCCCACAGCACCCTGCACACCACACACACCCAGCCCACAGCACCCCCACACCACACCCAGCCCACAGCACCCCACACCACCCAGCCCACAGCACCCCACACCACACCCAGCCCACAGCACCCCACACCACACCCAGCCCACAGCACCCCCCACACCACACCCAGCCCAGCACCCCACACCACACCAGCCCACAGCAACCCCACACCACACCCAGCCCACAGCACCCCACACCACACCCAGCCCACAGTGCACCCCACACCACACCCAGCCCACAGTACCCCTCACACCACACCCAGCCCACAGCACCCCTACACACCACACCCACATACACCCCACACCACACCAGCCCACAGCACCCCACACCACACCCAGCCCACAGTACCCCACACCACACCCAGCCCAGCACCCCCACACCACACCCAGCCCACAGCATACCCCAAACCACACCCAGCCCACAGCTTCCCACACCACACCCAGCCCACAGCACCCCACACCACACCCAGCCCACAGCACCCCACACCACACCCACAGCACCCCACACCACACCCAGCCCACAGCACCCCACACCACACCCAGCCCACAGCACCCCACACCACACCCAGCCCACAGCACCCCCCACACCACACCCCAGCCCTCCACAGTACCCCCACACCACACCCAGCCCACAGTACCCCACACCACACCCAGCCCACAGCAATTCCCCACACCACACCCAGCCCACAGCACCCCCACACCACACCCAGCCCACAGTACCCCCACACACACCCAGCCCACAGCACCCCCACACCACACCCAGCCCACAGTACCCCACACCACACCCAGCCCACAGCACCCCCACACCACACCCAGCCCAGCACCCCACACACACCCAGCCCACAGCACCCCAACACCACACCCAGCCCACAGCACCCCACACCACACCCAGCCCACAGCACCCCACACACACCCAGCCCACAGCACCCCCACACCACACCCAGCCCACAGCACCCCACACCACACCCAGCCCACAGTACCCACACCACACCCACCCACAGTACCCCAACACCACACCCAGCCCACAGTACCCCAACACCACACCCAGCCCACAGTACCCCCACACCACACCCAGCCCACAGTACCCCACACCACACCCAGCCTACAGTACCCCTACACCACACCCAGCCTACAGTACCCCAACACCACACCCAGCCTACAGTACTCTAACACCACACCACACCAGCCCACACTTAGGCTGACAGTTCCTCATTTATTTATTTTTATTGGGCACCTTACATCCCTGTAAGGTGAAGTGCAGAAGTGTTTACAGCGCCCAACAGGGAAGCATGCTGTCTCATGCTGCTCTTTATGACTCATGAGTTAAAGTGCAGAAGCTCGAAGAGTCAGTGGTTTATGTCACAGCTATTGAAGTCCAATAACTCCCTGAATACTAATTCAACTTCTCACCTGACTGAAATTCCACTTTACTGCTAGGTGAACAGGACTAATGGGGCTAGAAGTAAGTCCAAACAACTCACCGCCCGGAATCGAACCTGTGACATCTCGCTTGTGAGGCAAGAACTGTACCGCTTCTACCACCGGTCCCCAGTTCATTAATGAAGAAGAGTTTTGCATGAGCTTCACTGACGCTGTTTTCATAATGAAAGTTTTAGGAAGTTTATTATTATTATTATTATTATTATTAATATTATATTATTATTATTATTATATTATTATTATTATTATTAATTTATTATTATTATTATTATTATTATTATTATTATTATTATTATATATTATACACTACATAAATTCTCATCATTTTCCTCTTTTCCTGTCTACCTTTCATCCTCTTCTTCCTCCTTTCACAACTCCTTCTCCTCTCTCTCTCCTTTGTTCTCCTCTTCCCTAATTTTCTCACCCAAAGCAATTCACCCTTTGCTCTCTCCTCTATCCTCTCTCTCAACTCTACTTCAACCACGTCTTTTTACTCCTTTCCTTCCTTCCTTCCTCCTTCCCAACCTCCCTCCCCTCTCCTCCCTCCCTCTCTCCTTCCACCCCCCTCCCCACCGCTTCCCCGTCAGCTAATCCTCAGAGTCATCCCTAAATCTGAGGGATTACGGAGGCGGCACAAGGGGCTCTGAGATACGTCTCGTGGGAGGGCTGCTTCCAGGACCCGTGCCCCCTGGACTTTGTTGGACTCTCCACTTCTCTCTCTCACTCCCCCTATCCTTCCCATCTCCCTCTTTCTCCCTCACGCACGCCTCACCCCTCTTCTCCATCCCATCTTCTCCTCTCCTCCTGCATCCTCCCTTCCCTCCTGTATCCTCTTCCCTCCCTTCCGCATCCTCTTCTCTCCTCTCTCCATCTTATATTTTCTCCTCTACATTCCTCTCCCATTCCCTTCATCACACTCTCCTTCCTCCCTCCCATGACTATCCACTTGTTCCATCACCTCTCTTTATTTCTCCTCACCAACTCTACCTTTCTCACTCTCCTTCCTTCCCCCTCCCACCCTTTCCTCCCTACACAGCCAACAAAATGTCTTCTCTCTCTCCTCCCTTCCCCAATCCTCCTTCCCCCTTCCCCACCCTCCTCCTTTTTCCCCACCTCCCTTACCTTTCCCCACTCCTCCCTTTCCCTTCCCCCACTCCTTCCCTTCCCCCCTAATCCTATATCAACAATTACGCAGAAAATCTCCTCCATATAGGAACCCCAAGTCGACGACAACACACAGAGTGCAGTCAAGACCCGCTTACTGTATAAACCCTAACCTGACGGGGCTATAGGTATATTGTTTCATATAGGAGATATATTATTTACAGTATATACAAGGGGGAAGGAAGGGGAAGGGGGTGGACAAAGGAAATGATGGCGTATACTTACCGATCGGAATTGATTAATACCCGGAAGTTGGTGAGAAGGTAGGGGAGGGTGGGGGGATAGGGGAGGTGGAGGAAGGAGAGAAGGATGGGGAGGAGAGGGAAGGAAAGAATAAGGAAGTGAGGAAGGAGGAGTAGACGTACGAGAGGGAAAGATTAAAGGAGGGTGTTAAAAGGGGAGGGAGGAGAGGCACTGGTGTTTAAGAAAACCCTAACTACAGGCTACTAACATGTAAACTTTCAGAAACATCACTTAATATTAAACAGTTTCAAAAAAAATAATAATAATAATATTAATACATAATAATTCATGTGTTGGCTTATTCCCTGAAGGATCACTTAACACGGTACACACGGCAGAGAGAATCACTGACGAAAGCAAAAAAATAAATAAATGAATGAAAAGAACATTTACCTGGCCTCTACTTACCTGACGACTAATTAATTAACTCCAAGGCACCATCCAGAGGGCCTACTCACAGTAACTAAAGGATGTGATTAATATGGAATTTAAGGCATTCAACTACTAAATAACACTCAGATATGATTTTCAAGCGATTAAACTCTTTTGAATTGTTTATTACGTAAGGACAATTAGGTTTTATTTTTGTAGTTTTATAAAAATATCGAGACTTGCACGATGAGCCAACCACTCAGATAGGACCGTACTACCTGAAGAAGCATCACTTACAAAACACATTAAACCTCCTTGAAGTGCTGGTGGACGTAAGAGGGGAGGCAGTGAACATCTATACCTGAAGGAGAGGACAGTGAACATCTATACTGAAGGAGGAGACAGTGAACATCTATACCTGAAGGAGGAGACAGTAAACATCTATACCTGAAGGAGAGAGACAGTGAACATCTATACCTGAAGGAGGAGACAGTGACATGTATACCTGAAGGAGGAGACAGGAACATCTATACCTGAAGGAGGAGACAGTGAACATGTATACCTGAAGGAGGAGACAGTGAACATCTATACCTGAAGGAGGAGACAGTGAACATGTATACCTGAAGGAGGAGACAGTGAACATCTATACCTGAAGGAGGAGACAGTGAACATGTATACCTGAAGGAGGAGACAGTGAACATCTATACCTGAAGGAGAGGACAGTGAACACCTATACCTGCAGGAGGAGACAGTCAACACCTACCTGAAGGGCCAGTTGTAGTGGGCTGCAGGGTTCATCGTTTTCACACCCGAAGCAACTTAGGGCAAGCCTCGACACACATACAGCATCTGTAGGTGGGGTTCTGACTGTCCTGTTTACCTCCCACGCCACTGTCAAGAAGAAGAACCAGTTAGTTACAGTTTCTCTTACAGTTTCACCCAGTTATATACCAGTGGAGTCTCTGTTATCTTACACTTACTCCAGTCAATGCCGGTTAATACACTCGTATATATACAGTCATTTGGGAAGGACACCGTTTAACCCCATCTTCCACATTTTGTATACAGTTAAACCAGTTACTAACAGTTTAATTATTATTATTTAAAAAAATTCAGAACGACTTGAAAGAGAAACGGTTTAGTCTTAGGAACTGTTATCCACATAATTTATGTTGTATGTATGTATGTATGTATGTATGTATGTATGTATGTATGTATGTATGTATGTATGTAAGAACGTATTTATATGTATGTATGTATGTATGTATGTATGGAAGAACGTATTTAAGTATGTATGTATGTATGTATGTATGGAAGAACGTATTTAAGTATGTATGTATGTATGTCTGTATGTATGTATGTATGTATGTATAAATGACTAGTACAATAAAGGCCAGTTTCAATTATCCTATAGTACCATTGAGTAAGGCTTGGGATATTGTTGAGTCATTCCTCCCTCCTCTCTCCCTCTCCTCCCTCCCTCCTCCCTCCTCCCCCCACACTCACCTCTCCTCCTCCCCCAGGTGATATTAGGGGTCAGCCAGGCGACACAAGTAGGCCTCTACACTTCCCATTAACCTGTTACGACACTTGAACCATAAAGGAAGACCAGGGGAAAAATATTGTTATACCTTGGATTTTAAATTTGTTGCTGTTGGTTCCATCTGGTATTTTATTTTAGTCTCTCTCTCTCCCTCCTCTCTCTAGGACAGCGAGAGGAGGCCTGAAATGCAGGTAGAGGGGGGAGCAGAGAGGAGGGAAAGGAGGAAAGTAGAGGAACGTGAAGAGGGATGGAAGGATAGAGGAGAGGAGGGATGTGTGAAGGAAGGAAGAAAAGGAAGGAAGGAAGGAGAAGAAGGAAGGAAGGAAGTATAGGACAGACACAAATGAGGACAAATTCTCTTAAATAAACAAAACTAATTAAACTACAACACCATAAACAATATATGCCCCTAAAATTTCAAAAATTCCTGTTTTTAAATTCATCTTCCTATCAATCTAAATAAAAGACCAAAACTAACTCAAAACAAGAGTCAAATCCACCCCAAAAAAAAACATCCTGATAATTATTGTTTTCCTGGTGACATGGAGACCGAAAAATAGCTCCACTCAACTGACGATATGTGTCCAAATTCTGCAAAAAATCATAGGTAAAAACTCTATCCCTGATTAGTGGCGTCAACATGAACCTGATTGGCTAAAGCTCAGGGAAATATGAACCTGATTGGCAAGCCTGAGGAAATATGAACCTGATTGGCCAACCGGTGAAGCCTCGACAAGATGAGGTTGTTTACAGTCAATGGCGACGTAATAACATTGAGTTTCTATTTACAGGAATTGGTTAGTTTCATCTATTCACATTTTCCTTTGCCTGATGTTGGTGTGTGTGTGTGTGTGTGTGTGTGTGTGTGTGACCTGAGGAAAGATATTTATGTTGTCCATTCAGACGGATTAATAAGTCTGTGTGTGGGTGATGGTGGAGGTGGGTAGGAGGGTGATGTTGGAGGTGGGGATGGGGAGGGGTGATGGTGGAGGGTTATAGGGGAGGGTGATGGTGGAGGGATGATGGTGGAGGTGGGTGATGGGGAGGGTGATGGTGGAGGTGGGTGATGGTGGAGGTGGGGGATGGAGGAGTGCAGAGGGAAGAGGGTGGAGTATGGGTGATGTAGAGTGGGTTATGGTGAGTAAGATGGGGAGGGTGATGGTGGAGGGTGATGTTGAGTATATGGTAGGGAGGTATGGATGGGAGGGGTGATGGTGGAGGGTTATGGGGAGGTGGGTGATGGTGGAGGTGATGGTGGGAGGGTGATGGTGGAGGGTGGTGGTGGAGGTGATGGTGGGAGTGGATGATGGTGGAGGATAGGAGGGTATGGTGGAGGTGGGTGATGGTGAGTATGGGTGATGGTGGAGGGGTGATGGTGGGAGTGGGTGATGGAGGTGAGAGGAGTGGGCAGGTGGGTGGGTAATGGTGGAGGGTGATGGGAGGTGGGTGATAGGAGGGTGATGAGTGGGTGATGGTGGAGGTGGGTGATGGTGGGAGGTGGTGGGTGGGAGGGTGAGGGAGGTGGGTGGACAGGATAGGGTGGATAGAGGTGGGTGATGGTGGGAGGGTGATAGGAGGGATGGTGAGGGATGGTGGGGGATGGTGGAGGTGGGTGATGGTGGAGGGTGATGGTGGAGGTGGGTGATGGTGAGGTGGGTGATGGTGGAGTGGGTGATGGTGGAGTGGGTGGATGGTGGAGGTGATGGGTGAGGTGGGTGATGGGGAGGGTGATGGTGGAGGTGGGTGATGGTGGAGGGTGATGTAGGAGTGGGGATAGGAGATGGTGAGTGGTGTGGGTGGGCTCAAAGATCTTAAAGAAAACAGGAATTACACGATAAAAATAATATAAATAAATAATAAAAACACAAATGACCCCCACACACACACACACACACACACACACACACACACACACACACACACACACACACACACACACACTTAAGCCTTGTCCTTGAGTTCTTATACCTGGCCCCCAAATTATAATCACCTTAAGTAGTGGATTAAAAGACCTGGGCCTCCCAGGTAAATATTAAATAACCTGAGAATTGTGAGAAAATCTATAGTGACGTAAAGAAATAAAATAAGATGGGGAAAACCTGTGAGATAAGACTGTTGTTATTATTGTTATTGCACCAACTTTAGCCTACACTATGAAGAAATAACAAGAATTACACCTAATAAAAGTGAATAACATCAGGTGTATCGTGCGTCGTTAGAAAACAACATTATATTCCAACAACAACGACATTCTCCGAGTCATCCAACACACGCTAAAGACGAGCGGACTTGAGACAACGACACTAGCGACTCCAGCACATGTCGCTAGCTCTCAGGGGTATAAATAGCGGAGGAAAGATAATCTGACTAAACTCAACACAGAAACTTACCAAATCGATGAATATTATAGATAATGAAGAATTCCAAGAACACAGTTGGTTTAAATCAGCCAGGAAGAAAGTAATTGAACCATCTCCTGCCCCAATATACACATAAAACATTAATAGAGAGAATAAAATACAATAATACAATACAATAATAATAATAATAATAATAAAAAGTATAATAAGCAGCACTATATAAATAAACTAATATTAATACAAAGGTCTAACAAACCAAGGGAGCAAAACAAAGATTAAAAAGAAAAGATGAAGCGATCTAGATGAGCCCAGATTATTTCTACGCCTACTGTAGTATTTCAGTTTCATCAGTCGTCTTCAGTCCATAATAATCTTCTTTCACCTCCTGACTCATGACTCTAAAGCCAAGTGTTTCCCAGAAGACCTCAGCACCTCACATGTACTAAGTGATCCTCCAGGTATTGATACATAAATAAATATATATATAAATGGAGGAGGGGGATTATTATCACTTGATTATATCAGTAATTAATAAAATAGTTATATAATTAGAGGGGAAGGGGAGAGAGCAGGTTATTGCAGGCTCTAATCAATTGGAGGATTATTTTATGGAATTAACGATGACAGGTGAACATGCAAGAGAGAGAGAGAGAGAGAGAGAGAGAGAGAGAGAGAGAGAGAGAGAGAGAGAGAGACTTAACTTCAACATGTGTACCATTAGGTCTTGTTCCTGACGTAATAACTGTTCTACACTGCACTTGTAGCCGCCCCTGCACCCAGCCGTGACCAGGAGTAAACACACACTACCAGGAGAAAAAAAAACAAAACAAATAAGAACATGGTTGTTAGTTTATCAAGATCTAACACACACACACACACACACACACACACACACACACACACACACACACACACACACCACACACAAGCCAACCAACCTAACCCAACCCAAGCTCAACCTAACCTAAACCCAACCCAACCCAACTCCCAAGCCAAGCCAAGCCAAGCCAACCTAACCCAACCCAACCCAACCTAACCTCAACCTAAGCCAACCCAACCTAACCCACAAGCCAAGCCAACCCAACTCAAGCCAAGCCAACCTAACCCAACCCAACCCAACCTAACCTAACCTAAGCCAACCCAACCTAACCTGCCAAGCCAAGCCAACCCAACCTAAGCCAAGCCAACCCAACCCAACTCACAAAAAAATAACCAAACTAAATATCCAAATGACACACACACGCCAAAATAATGCTTGACAATAACAAAGTCACCCTGACGTATGCAAATTAGTTAGAAGTTTATAAGGAGAATGACATCAAAGAACTAAAGTCAATATCACTGAGGTTTTAACCAGACAGTACAAAGGGCCCCATTTACCATAATTAATAAGTTATCGATCAAACCTCCCAAACAAGAATTACCTGTATATGACTCAGGTATGATAATTAATGAAACAGGTGGAAGTAATAATTAAATATAAATACACGTGAGATTATAGTGAGCGTTTACTGATCCGTAAAGATATGAGTTATTAATCTATATGCTGATAAAGGAGATTGTGTGTGTGTGTGTGTGTGTGTGTGTGTGTGTGTGTGTGTGTCTTTGATGCCGTCTCCTCCTGTAATCTTTGTCCACATGGCATTACACACACACACACACACACACACACACACACACACCAGGACGTCAGCCATAGCCCTAATCTTATCAGTAAAACCATCGTCCAGCAGCAAGGTATCTCAGCAGTACCCCACCCCACAGGACGTCCGAGTCATCATCACCTGAACCCAACCTCCAGGTCCGTGGAGGCTCAGGTGAGAGGAGGAGGTTGACCAGGTGAGAGGAAGAGGAGGCTGTTGACCAGGTGAGAGGAGGAGGAGGCTGACCAGGAGAGGAGGAGGAGGTTGACCAGGTGAGAGGAGGAGGAGGTTGACCAGGTGAGAGGAGGAGGTTAACCAGGTGAGAGGGAGGAGGAGGTTGACCAGGGAGAGGGAGGAGGTTGACCAGGAGAGGAGGAGGAGGTTGACCAGGTGGAGGGAGGAGGAGGTTGACCAGGTGAGAGGAGGAGGAGGTTGACCAGGTGAGAGGAGGAGGAGGTTGACCAGGTGAGAGGAGGAGGAGGTTGACCAGGTGAGAGGAGGAGGAGGAGGCTGACCAGGTGAGAGGAGGAGGAGGTTGACCAGGTGAGGAGGAGGAGGTTGTTGACCAGGTGAGAGGAGGAGGAGGTTGACCAGGTGAGAGGAGGAGGTTGTTGACCAGGTGAGAGGAGAGAGGCGACCAGGTGAGAGGAGGAGGAGGTTGACCAGGTGGAGAGGAGGAGGAGGTTGACCAGGTGAGAGGAGGAGGAGGTTGACCAGGAGAGGAAGAGGAGGGTGACCAGGTGAGGAGGAGGAGGTTGACCAGGTGAGGAAGAGGAGGTTGACCAGGTGAGAGGAGGAGGAGGTTGACCAGGTAGGAGGAGGAGGAGGTTGACCAGGTGAGAGGAGGAGGAGGTTGACCAGGTGAGAGGAGGAGGAGGTTGTTGACCAGGTGAGAGGAGGAGGTTGTTGACCAGGTGAGAGGAGGAGGAGGTTGACCAGGTGAGAGGAGGAGGAGGCCAGGTGAGTGATGGGATCTGAAGCATTTTTTTATTTTTTAGGTCATGGAAGAGTCACCATTATCTTCACTTCTTTGTCTTTTTCTTCTTTCTTCTTCTTCTTCTTTTTAGACCCCATCCTCTTTACACTTTCTCTCTCTTCTCCTACTCCTATTCCTCTTCTTCTTCCTCACCTCCTCCTCCTCCTCCCACCTCGCCCTCACCATCATCTTAAAGGTTCAGACACATCAACACACTTCTCACCCCCACCTTAGAAAAGATCAGTCCAAACACTTACACCCAGGCATCATCATCATCATCATCATCATCATCATCATCATCACCACCACCACATCACCACCATCATCAACCACCATCATCAACCACCACCCACCACCACCATCATCACCCACCCACCATCATCACCACCACCAACCATCACCACCAACCACCACCACCACCACCATCATCACCATCATCACCACCACCATCATCACCACCACCATCATCATCACCACCACCATCACCACCACCACCACCATCATCACCATCATCACCACCACCATCACCATCATCACCACCACCATCATCATCATCACCACCACCATCATCATCATCACCACCATCATCACCACACCACCACCACCATCACCATCACCACCACCATCATCACCATCACCACTCATCATCACCATCACCACCATCATCACCACCACCACCACCATCATCACCCACCACCACCACCAACCACCACCACCACCAACCACCAACCAACCATCACCACCACCACCACCACCATCATCACACCATCATCACCACCATCATCACCACCATCATCACCACCACCATCACCACCATCATCATCATCATCAATCATCATCATCACCATCATCATCACCACCACCACCATCATCACCATCATCATCACCATCATCACCATCATCATCACCACCACCACATCACCACCATCATCACCACCATCACCGCCACCATCATCACCATCACCACCACCACCATCATCACCTCATCATCATCATCATCATCACCACACACCACCATCATCACCATCATCACCACCACCATCATCACCACCACCATCATCATCATCATCATCATCATCAGGAGCAAACATCACAACACAGTAACCTAACCCATCGTCTTATAGCTGTGTCACGAGAGTTACAGTGTTTATATACGAAAAGAGGAACTACTTACTCCATCCCTCAATACCACTCTGGCGGAGGAATACATCTTGAGTTGCGAATGTCAAAGTGTTTCCTGTAGAACAACACAACACACGAGAGTTCTCCACACAGATGTCAGGTCGTATTATTCATTCCGACAGTGTTATGTGACGTCAACTTCACCCATGACGTCATCACACAGGTGGTATGGAGACTATCACTGTCATCACCTCCCTTTCAACACTCTCTCCCTTCAACACTCTCTCCCTTCAACACTCTCTCCCTTCAACACTCTCCCTTCAACACTCTCCCTTCAACACCTCCCTTCAACATCTCACCTCCCACACCAATTTCCTTCCTGAGCGTCTAACATCCTCTTCAGTTAAATCGACAAGACAAGACAGACAAACAGACAGATCATGACAGACAGACAGACAGACAGACAGACAGACAGACAGACAGACAGACAGATAGATAAATATAGGTTACAAAAAGAAAATCCAGACTAAAATTCCCCCTACAGCCAAACTTTCAACCGGTATATTTTTTCCTTCCATTCTTCTCTTCCAGGTTTTGTGTCAGAGTTTTTTAACACGTGTTTATCCAAGTGCCTCACCGACCCAATTGATAGCCTTAGGATCCTAAGGGGTTTTATTTTTGTGGTTTATTTATGGGTTTTTTATTTGTGGTTTATTGTGGGTTTTTATTTGTGGTTTATTGTGGTTTTATTTGTATTCCATTTGATTTGGTTTTATTGGGGTTTTATTTGTGGTTTTTATTTGTGGTTATTAGGTGTGGTTTTATTTGTGGTTTATTGTGGTTTTTATTTGTGGTTTATTGTGGTATTCAGGTTTATTTGTGGTTTATTGTGGTTTTATTTGTGGTTTATTGTGGTTTTATCTTGTGGTTTATCAGTTTTGTGGTTTATTGCCATCTGAGGAGCACACACACACACACACACACAACACACACACACACACACAACACACACACACACACACACACACACACACACACACACACACACACACACACACACACACACACAAACAAGTAAATTTATTTAATGTGTTTGTGCAAACAAACGACAAATACAGTATTTATGTAACAGTCAAAATATAACAAAGAAAATCTTTATAAATTTAATTAATTATCAGACAAACAAACAAACATAAGCAGCTAAACACCTCCCTCCCTCCCCATCTTTTTCCCTCCTCCTTCCTACCCCCCCATCCCTCCCCTGATGAACTAAGAAGACGCAAACACCAATCCTGGAGGAATTGTTTGTGTGTGTGTGTGTGTATGTGTGTGTGTGTGTGTGTGTGTGGTGTGTGTGTGTGTGTGTGTGTTCCTCAAAATCAAATTATCTTTCCCTCATATGAAATGGAGAGAGGTGGCGTCCACCTCCATCACGGCTATTACAAGACACACAACACGTCGAGGAAAGGAAAAAATAAAAATAAATAACTACTTAAACCTGGTACAGTGTCTGGTGCGTTTGTAGAGATGTGGCAAATAACTGTTTGTTTACATAGTATTAAAACTCCCTGAATTGCCCTAAGGAGCCTCGCAATATTAGCCAGACTAAGGATGTTAGATAAGGATTCCACAGTTGCCCCATCTTATAAAATGCGTCAGCCACTGTACCAGGTATAAGTGCAGGCGACTGTACATTGGAAACGATTCCCTCCCTCTCTCTCTCTCGTTGATCTCCCTTGTAAGTCTCCAGACTCATTCATTTGCATTCCATAATACTGACTGAGCTGATCTCTCTCTCTCTCTCTCTCTCTCTCTCTGTCAATCTTTCTGTTTCTATCTCCACGAAGATCTGTAAGGTGTGTGTGTGTGTGTGTGTGTGTGACTAAATATTTTAAATTACGCACATCTTTAACTCCACACACAAGACTTCGCCCCTTTCAGCGTTCCCGTCCCATGAATTTTAAATGAGGTGCTGTTTCCGCTGTGCCCATGTCTCACTTTCCATTACAATTGACTTAAGTTCGTACCACCTACCTACCCTGCCCTACCCTACCCTACCCTA